ATAAAAAGTTTTGGCCTCTTAACTTATCTCTAATCCACAGAACCCTATTAAATAATTGCTATCCTCCACATCTTATAAAATCAGTAATTAACAATAGGCTTTCCGTCCTTAACACAAAACACAATCATCCTTCCCTCGAGTCCCAGGAAAAAGAAGAAAATAAGTTTATTGGCACTATTTGTCTCCTATACATTAAAAATCTCTTTCCTATTTGGAAAAAACTATTTGAATTTGCAGAGTTGCGTTTAGTTTGCAATATTGATCAGACCCTTAACTTTTTATTTTCGAACTTAAAATCACCGACAAGTTTAGATCGTATTTCTAACATCGTGTATAAAATTGACTGTACAAATTGTGAGGCCACTTGTATTGGCGAAACTGGACAACATCTAAAAAAACGTTTTAGACAACACTATAACAACTCCAAAAATAAAAATCAAAATCAAATAATGATAACTGACCACATCGAAAGTTTCAATCATATTTTCAATTTTGATGTTGCCACAATTTTATATCACGAGTCGAATACATCGCAGAGACGCTTTTCAGAATCATGTTTCATACATCTTTTCAAAAATAGCATAAACAAAAGATTGGATAATTCTTCACTGTGTGAAAATTACCAAGTAGTTTTAAACAATGTCTCGAAATTCATTCCTTTAAAATATTTACCTATCCTATCGACTTTTTAATTATATTAATTTTTATGTTAATTTTTCTTTTTCTTTTAATTTTTTCTCAATTCTACCAACTATGTCCACCCTCACAATTGTCATCTTTTTATATTTTACTATATGTACCCTCTTGCGTTGTCAAACCTTAAATTCTCTGGTCAGTTCGTGTGCTCGGTACCTAGCTTCTAACACGTGGTGTGCACATTTGTGCACATTTAGGCTTCACTCTTGCATCGGAATACATAATAGTAGTAGATGTATTTTACAAATTCATAAAATAACTCATTCTAAAATATATATATTGTTCAATTTGAAGTGACAAGATTTGGTTTTATTATGCATTGTGAACAATTATAATTAGGAAATAATTAGGATTATTACAATTACATGTAAGTTCATACCATATCACTTCTTATATATTAGTTTTAATTAATAATTTTTATCTGTGCCTTCAAATTAGAGTCCACTGAAGATGACACAAAACTATGTGTCGAAACGTATGGAAAAAATAAAAATGTTTTAAAATCATACAAGTTTTTAATTGATGTATTGCCTTGAAGACTTAATTCTCACATATCTCAACATCAAAATTATAAAAATTTTAACATAAATTCCTGGGCTGAAAAAGGACATTTCGTATCACACCTCGTTCCAACTGTTGGCTACGCACTCTATCAAGATTTTATTAATTGTAGTTTAATTACCGATTTTCTAATTAATTATTTTTGCTGTATTACGTGTATAATAATTTTTATATATTTAGCTAAGTTTCTTAGTAAATTGTAATAACTTTCATAATAATTTCGTACACTATTCTTGTCATTTTAAATTTCCTTATTTTGCTTCCTTTTTACATTTTTACTTTTACTTTATTACTTTTTCTTTAATTTACCGTTCTTTTTATTTACATCATGAAGCAAACGACTTTCAACCGCGCGTTGCTCAAACGAACTGATTATTCTCAAAACAATCACCCCCTAAATAACTCTTTTTACTCGTTTATCAAGAAACATTACGGTTTTTATATTTTGTCCCAATTAAAACACATTACCAAACTAAATACGGAATTAATCACTAACATTAACAAAAACAGATTTTCTTAATAAGATGCAGAAAAGAAAGTATAATTCCTAAGTTCTATCAATTCAATACAGACAAATTTTCGCACCTACATAGTTCGCTAAGAAACAAATTTTCTTCATTAAGCCTCCATATGTTATCCATTGAAATCAAGAATTGTATTTGCAATGTCAATAACTTGAAACTAGCCATTGATAAAACGTACGCTTCGCTCACTCATACTGTTGAAGCGGAGATTCTGCAAAGCTTCTCTGAATACGAATCGACTCGCAACAACAAATTTTTCATCAAATTAAAAAACTCTTATAAAATTAAGTTCGATAGATTATTGCAGTCTAAACGCAACCTTTCAAAAATAGTTTTAAATAGTACACTAATTAACAAATGGCTAAAAAATCTTTCCAGCGTCACAATTCCAGATAGATCACTTTACATTTTTGCACTAGGTCCTAACTTTGCTATCCCCAATAGGCCTTCATAACATCAAAAATCCTGAAGTAAAATCTAACATTCGTTCCCATTTTTGCAAAAAATTTCTCTCCTACATCAAGTCCTTTAACACCAAAAAAATTGTTGACAACAAAGATATTTTAAGAGACATAAAACTTTGCAAAAACTTTCTCAAAGATAATCCGAATATCTCAGTAACCAGAGCAGATAAAGGAAATGTACAGTAGTTCTCGACAAAACTACCTATTTAGAAAAAATCACCAGTCTAGTTAATGACACTAACGTTTACAGTCCTATCAATAGCGATCCTACAGATCGAATCAATCGCACTTTCCATAAATTCATTAATAATTTAGTGTCTACTAAACAAATTCCACAAGACTTGTCCTTGTCGTTAAAAAACCTACATCCTAACAACCCAAAATTATACGGTCTCCCAAAAATCCACAAAACCAATGTACCCTTTAGACCTATAGTTGCAGATTTGAATTCTCCCCTAAATAAATTTTCCAAATTTCTGAGCAAACCCCTCTTCATAGTTGCTGTTAATTCTCCTTTCTTTATTAAAGATTCCTTCGAATTTGTCAACAAAATACGTAATACACAATTGCCCAACAACTCCCTCTTAATAAGCCTAGATGTAGTTTCTCTTTTCACAAATGTCCCACTAGAACTAATTTTAGAGTCAATCACAGATAGATGGGATGAGATTTCTTGCCACACTACCCTTTCTCTCCATTGGTTTCGAGAGTCCATTAAATTCATAGTCGCGAATACTTATTTTGAATTCACTTCACATTTTTATACACAAATTTTTGGTACACCCATGGGATCACCTATCTCACCTGCTCTTGCTGAACTCTCTTTACAACACCTCGCAAAAAACGTCTTTAAACTATCTAATGTTGAATTTTTCCTTTATTACAGATATGTCGATGATATAATTACTTGCATTCCTAAAAATAACTTGATTCTTTACTAAAAAATTTTAACTCCTTTAATAAACACCTCACCTTCACTTTCGAAAAAGAACACAATAGATCAATTAGCTTTTTAGATGTAAATATCATAAAAACTCCAGAAAATAAAATTATTACTAACTGGTACCAAAAACCAACGTAGTCTGGCAGATATCTCAATTTCCATTCTTATCATCCTACTAACATGAAAATTGGTACTATTATCAATCTAGTTGATCATGCTATTCTCTTGTCAGATAAAAAGATTTGGCCTCTTAACTTATCTCTAATCCACAGAACCCTATTAAATAATTGCTATCCTCCACATCTTATAAAATCAGTAATTAACAATAGGCTTTCCGTCCTTAACACAAAACACAATCATCCTTCCCTCGAGTCCCAGAAAAAAGAAGAAAATAAGTTTATTGGCACTATTTGTCTCCCATACATTAAAAATCTCTTTCCTATTTGGAAAAAACTATTTGAATTCGCAGAGTTGCGTTTAGTTTGCAATATTGATCAGACCCTTAACTTTTTATTTTCGAACTTAAAATCACCGACAAGTTTAGATCGTATTTCTAACATCGTGTATAAAATTGACTGTACAAATTGTGAGGCCACTCATATTGGCGAAACTGGACAACATCTAAAAAAACGTCTTAGACAACACTATAACAACTCCAAAAATAAAAATCAAAATCAAACAATGATAACTGACCACATCGAAAGTTTCAATCATATTTTCAATTTTGATGTTGCCACAATTTTATATCACGAGTCGAATACATCGCAGAGACGCTTTTCAGAATCATGTTTCATACATCTTTTCAAAAATAGCATAAACAAAAGATTGGATAATTCTTCACTGTGTGAGAATTACCAAGTAGTTTTAAACAATGTCTCGAAATTCATTCCTTTAAAATAATTACCTATCCTATCGACTTTTTAATTATATTAATTTTTATGTTAATTTTTCTTTTTCTTTTAATTTTATCTCAATTCTACCAACTATGTCCACCCTCACAATTGTCATCTTTTTATATTTTACTATATGTACCCTCTCGCGTTGTCAAACCTTAAATTCTCTGGTCAGTTCGTGTGCTCGGTACCTAGCTTCTAACACATGGTGTGCACATTTGTGCACATTTAGGCTTCACTCTTGCATCGGAATACAGAATAGCGGGATGTATTTTACAAATTCATAAAATAACTCATTCTAAAATATATATATATATTGTTCAATTTAAAGTGACAAGAATTGGTTTCATTGTGCATTGTGAACAATTATAATTAGGAAATAATTAGGATTATTACAATTACATGTAAGTTCATACCATATCACTTCTTATATATTAGTTTTAATTAATAATTTTTATCTGTGCCTTCAAAATAGAGTCCACTGAAGATGACACAAAACTATGTGTCGAAACGTATGGAAAAAATAAAAATGTTTTAAAATCATACAAGTTTTTAATTGATGTATTGCCTTGAAGACTTAATTCTCACATATCTCAACATCAAAATTATAAAAATTTTAACATATATATATATATATATATATATATATATAATATTTTATTATTTTACACAAATTTAGTGTTCAATCAATTTTACATCATAATTAATGTTTTCTGTTGATTTTCCTGGTTTGATACTGAATGATGACACACATCAAGTGTCGAAACGTTTAATGTAATAAATAATTTTGTTATTTAATCTTTTTTAATTCGACGGTTGGTCGACAAAACTATCATCATATATATATATATATATATATATATATATATATATATATATATCCTTGCGTATCATCGTTTATTCATAACATTTGTTTCAGACGTTGGTTTTGGATAAAGGACGCTTTTTTGAATTGCGCGATGGAGTTGTTAGGCTGCTTTGCTCGGCTACTCTCTACACGTTGGGTTTGAATCAAATTACAATAATTAAAGAAGTGGCATCCTTCAAACAAAAACTTCAGAGTGACATCACAACGCTTATGAGTTCCGTAGAGAAAAATGAAGATTTCAACAATATTATGCCAAATTTAATATTACAAATTATTACGGATATAAAAATGACATTGGAAGCCTGTGGCTATTCCCAATTATCTTCCCAGGAGGAAGATGCAATACGAGTCAGACTGGAACAAGTGGCAAATCCTGCCCATAATATTAGAGTAATCCTGAAGCAACGGCTCATCGAATATTTTCGTTTATGTGCTGGTAGTCCCAGAGGACCCATAGGCATAGATATACCTCAAGGATGGCAAGTGTGGAAAAATGAAATTTTGCATATGTCTGCGAGGTTTTGCAGGCTAACTATTCACAATCGTGGTGTATTTGGTGAACATTATATTAATATTATAGAAGAAGCACAAAAGAATACTGACATGTGCAGTAAATAGTAGTATATTAATATTTCTTCATGTTTAACAATACAAAACATAACTATGATCAAATGATGAATAAAATTATTGTATAATTTTTTTATCAAGCATTTTACTAACTAGTGGTTAATGACATCGTGCCTTAAGGCAAATTGCTTGAATTTTCCGTACCACAATTAAATATTCGAGCAAAAAAAATTAATATTCGATTAATAACAATTGTTTTGAATGTTTTCAAATAGATTATTATTTACTATATATTTATTTGTTTATATAATATACATTGACAATCTTATCACACAAACCACTTAAAAATGTTTACATTAAGAAGGAATGCTGAATGATATATGCTGAGGAAATATTTCTTACGATTAGAATAACGCATATGAAATATACACAGTTTTAAACTGTAAGGAAATAACGTAATTAACTGTATTAACTGTAACGTAAGTAACAAAAATTTCAGAAAAAAAATAAATATTCCCAAAGTTATAGCTGTTTTTGTTGACCCTGTTTCAAAAAACGGTCCTGGCGGTGACCGTCATAACTCCTTAGAGATTCATCTAAAATCAACCAAATAAAAAAAAATAGTTTTATAAATAGATATTGGGCCTGATCGAAGGTTTTCTTTTTTTTGCAAAAATTAACAAAATGGCAGCATCAGAAAAAAAATCTAGATTTTTGGGTAAAAAATCAACAGTTAATTGGTCTTAAAAATTGAAATTTTTGAAAAAATAAAAATCCCTCGATCAGGCCCGAGTTTATTATGTATTCTAAAAGCTGTATAAATTTCATTAAAATTTACTAAGCGGTTACTAATTTGAGTTAATAAGTGTAATATCTTGACTAAGTTGAGTTAATAAGTGTAATATCTTGAAAATGTTCTCTGAAAATTTCAAGTTGATCCGATGAAAACTTTTTGAATTATTGGACTCTTACCAGCGCGTTGACGCAAGTGGAGAGTTCGATACTTATACTCAAGATTATTCTCCCTCATGTCCTGATGTTTTAAAAGCTTTTAAACCGATTTACGACGATCTCAGCAATGATAATTTACTTTCAAGATGTGTAGTTCAAGATTGAATCCATAATCAGAAAAAATTAAAAGCTCCAACCAACTAGTGTAAAAATTATGCTTAAAAACCGTGAATACTAGTTCTACTATCGTACAAATTGCTGAATACATATACATAATCATTATTATTGATTATGGATACCCTAGGGCCTAATTGTGAGTATAACTCCCATTGGCATGCTGAAAAATTAGATGCTGCACGTGTGAAAGTAGCAGATCAGCGCGCCAACGAGAACACTCGGGAGGCAACAGCAAATGGAAATTTTGGAAACTTGGACAATCACTGATGAACTATTATATGGCCCAGAAATAGATGACTCGGTTTAAGTAATTCAATAATTCGAATTTCTGTACGTAAATCCAGTGTGAAACTTTAAACGTGTTTTTCTCAAAACTATGTTTTTTGAACCGGTGACCACTGGTTTTAAAAACCGGTTTTGTGGCAAAAAATATGCAATTTGAAAACCGTTTTTTTAGTGAAAAAAGTCGGTTTTTACTGTATAAATGGAAAATGACAAACATAGCCAAATATAAAAGAGTTTTGATTCTTGAAATCACATCGTTTCAATAGCATTTGATATCTTATCAGTCTGCAATGGTTTCCAGAAAGGTTTTGTATATATTAATTTAGATTTTTAAACCAGTGTATATATTAATTTAAATCAGTGTGACTTCTTCTTATGGAAGTAACTTCCTCTACTCAAACTTAAAAAAAGAGTTTTAAACCCTAGAAGCTGCAAAGAACAAAAAAATTAGAATTATTATATCAGGCTTTAAAAACAATTAAGCATAATTTGATCGCAAGTATGAGAGTATTTTCTATTTCAGGAAATTTTGTGAGTAAACAAGGGACACGCTTAAGTAGCAATTCGATAGACGTTCTCAGTTAATGATTTTTTTTATTTAAAAATTTGTTATTTTTATTTATTCGAAAATTTTCCTTTCACTATCATAAAAATATTTTTATTCTTATATGTGAAAATGACGCATGAATAACGAATAATTATTTTCGAAGTTATTTAATCAAGATAAACTATTATTTTTTAGTTCTACTAATTAAAATTAAAATAATTTTGTTTACTATCTAGAAAATTGAACAATAAATAAATTCAATCAAATACTGCTGTAAATTACACTGAACGGATAAATTACAGAATACTCAAGCAAAAATTTATTTTCTATATAAAATTCGAAAGCCGGTTTTTAGTAAAATTAAAATTCAAAAACCGGTTTTCTGAAATGTCGGTTTTTGTATAAACCCTAATATATATATATTAAAATTTAAATCTAAATAAAATTTTCCATAACTTTCAAAAAAAAAAATTTATCATTTTTAATATCCTGTACCTAGTTCCGAAACGTCGACAGTAAATAAATAAATAAATAAAGAAATTGTTTTTTAAAAAAAATTTCTTGTTTTTTATGTATTTTTGGATTCTTGTTCGAAACTCTACAAAATATACACAAATCCAAGACTCTACGATTTAATATATTCCAAGAACATTATGGGACGAAATTTCTTTCAAAACTTATCAAGAACTGTAGATTACAAACAAATATGTTTAATGAAAAATTATTCAAAACTAAACTCTAAATATTCTAACGTTATTAACAAAAAATATTTCTAATTCGATGTAAAAATGAATGGATTATACCCAATTTTATTTCTAATATTATCAACAAATAATTTTTATACAACACTTTCAACATCTATAAAATTGAACGACAAATTAATTACCTGAAAATGTCCGTTTTGAATCTTGAAATAAAAAATACTTTTATCTATATAAATTACTTGAAATCAAAACTAGATAACATAGTCAATACACTTTCCAATACTATCAACAAAGACCTTTTAAATCAATTTCTAGCTTTTGAAAACTATAAATTTAACAAACATTTTAATACTACTAAAGAGGAACATATTAGAAAAACTAAAACTTTAATTCAAAAAAGAGATGACAACTATCCCTTCAAAATCACTAAATCTGGTACAGACAAGTGGTTAGTTAATAAAACTGATATTAACATTCCAGAAAATGTTAAATATATCCTAGCATTAGGTCCAAAATTTGCATACTCTCCTCAGAAAAACAGTAAAACAGATTTCATAAAAATTTTAAGTAATATTGAATGCAATATTAGAAATATTGAAACAAACAAACAAAATAACATTAGATCAAAACTATGTGACAGACTGGTAAAACATATAAAAAAAGTAAATAATAAATTTCAAAACTTTCACTTGAAGAAACTCTACAAAGATATTTTAGTAACTAATGCTTTCATTAAATCTAATAATATTATAGTTTGCCCAACCGATAAAGGTAATATCACAGTCATCCTTGACAAAGAATTTTACAATAATTCCGTCCTTAACCTACTTAAAATTAATACAACATATAATATTTGAACAGAAGATCCCATACAACGTTTTTCTAGAATAGCTTTTAAATTAATCAATGATCTAAAAAACAAAAAACTAATTTCTGAGAATTTCGCTTTTAACCTAAAAATACAACACCCTATCTCCCCTAAGATGTACTGTCTTCCAAAAATACACAAACCTGAATGCTCTTTCAGACCGATTGTCTTCTATATTGGCTCTCCTTTTTACAACATTTCGAAACTCATTTCTGATGTCCTAAAAAATGTCACAATCAATTCTCCCTATTATGTCAGGAATTCGTACCAATTTGTGAATTTTATTAATAACCGCAACATCCCTGAAAATCACTTATTTCTAAGCTTAGATGTGGTCAACATTTTTACATGTGTCCCACATGGATTAATTCTAAACTCAATCGATAAACGTTGGCACACAATTTATAACTTTACTGACTTTCCGAAAACAGTCTTCACTCATATTATTAACACTATTCTAAATTACTCATATTTCCATTGCCAAGACAACTTTTATTCTCAAAATAAAGGCGCATCTATGGGATGTCTCTTATCTTCCGGAATTATAGACTTAGTTCTACAGACCCTAGAAATTTCCGTTTTCTCAACTTTAAAATTTCAGATTAATTTTTATATTAGATATGTAGATGACACTTTTTTTATTATTAACAAAAATCATATAAACACAATACTAGATCTTTTCAACAACTTTAACAATAATATAACTTTCACACATGAACTACAAAATAACAACAGACCTAATTTCTTAGATGTATCCGTTTACAATACTAACAACATTATTCGAACAAATTGGTATAGAAAAACTACATGGCCGTGTAGATATTTATACTTTTCCTCATACTGTCCCAGAAACTATAAAATAAACACTATTATTACCCTTACAGACCATTCTATTTTGTTGTCTCATCAAACTTTTCATCCACAGAATTTATCCCTGGTAAGAATAACTCTAATTGAAAATGGTTACCCAAAAAATTTTATTCATTCGGTTATTCAAAAAAGACGAACTTTTTTAAAAACACAAACTAATTCTCCCAATACCACTACCAACAACAAAAACACCAATCTTATTTACTGCAGCATTCCATACGTTGAAGAATTATATTATTATTTTGCCAAAATTCTGTTACATGAAAACATTTGAGTATCAGGCTCATCCTTACACTCCTTCAAAAAAAAAATTCACAAACAATAAATCCTCTACCACATCCAATTTCAATACTAACGTAGTATATTCTGTTTCTTGTAACGACTGAGCTTTCCAATATATTGGACAAACCTCGCAATATGTACACAAAAGAATGAGACAACATGAACTAAGTGTGGTCCACCATAAACAAAAAAATTTCAATAGTACCCTAGCACAGCACTCTATTGAAAACGCCCACTCGTTTAATTTCACTTCAAAGATCTCATATCATGAAAGTTGCATCTTTAGGAGATTATTTGCGGAAAGTTGTCTTATTCTTATGAATGTTTCTAATAGTGACAACATTATATGAGATCACAACCTATTACATGATTCATATTTAAATTTTTTACACTTTTTGACAAACAATTAATATCGACTTCCATTTAAGTTCAATAATTTAAGTATTCACATCCTAACATATAAAAACACACACATACAATCTCATAGTTCTCAAGTGTTTTACACGTGTT